AAAAAAAAAAAAAAAACACATCTTAGTAAAACCAATACCTTCTCAGCTTCGCATCGAAGCTAAAAATCAAAAAATTTAAACCAAACTTATTTTTAATCATGAAAAAAAATGTAGCTTTGAAATTTAATGCTCAGTCAATGCCGACTACTGATAAGAAGGTTTACCGACGAATGGGACACAGGTACAGTCGACCACTACACGTATGACGTTAAACAAGTAATAAATAATAAAAAAGACAAATACTCAATGAACTTATACATCATTTATCATATAAATCCATAGTTTATTCCAGATATCTTATATTCTTGTGAGTTTTTGTTACAAAAATATAAATGTGTTATTAAATTCATATTAAAAATTAATGACTTTAAAATGAAAAATACAAAATATTAAATTAAAAACTAGATGCTAGATACTCCACCATTTTTTATAAAATGAAATAACAATTTTGTCTCATGGGATAAAAAAAATTATTTATTTTTATTTAAGTGAATTGATAGATTCAAGTAATGATGTCTAAAACAATAACGTACATATAATAATAATTTAGAGCTCGAATATTTTTTTAAATTCCATTAACCATCATATTATGTTAGTATCATATCATATTANCATATTATGTTAATATCATATCATATTAACTATAATTTACTTAAATGACACCACTGAAAAATAAAAGAAATGTTTTTAAAATGTACACATATAAAAATAGGAGTAAGGATAAAATATGAAAACAGATCTTTATTTAAGCATAGTATCTCCAACGCGTTTTGCTTTGAGGGAAAACATTTCAAATTACCTAAGTACTGTAACAAATATAAGTCATAAAATTTAGAGATCTTACATTTATCAAAGATAAATAGTTATTTACGCTGTAAATACTTTAAAAAGTTATACTTAACAACTATGAAGTAAAACAAATTGCTGAAATACAAATCACTTTAAAGATATTAAGCGATATTATGATTACTCCATATCTAGTAAAATGTCCAATATTTAATACAGAAATATTATTATAATATTTAATAAAATATAAATGGTTATCAAAAAGTAGATTAAAGATTTCCTAAAAATTAATTTTATAGTATATATATTTTATTATAGAATAAAAACCTTGACCTCGAGCTTTTGTTGTATGCTAACGTTATTTTATACTTTTCACAGTTTTTACTGCTATTTTTTAATAGTCTCCTTTTGAATTTGAGCCGGTACGTTTTTCTTTAAACAGCGTATTTAATAGTATAATTTATGAGTATAGAT